TCAGCCCTTGGAATGGCACTGGCATGATTTACATCTGTTCTGGTTTATTTTTAAAGGGGTTGAATCCTCTGAAGTTTTTCAGTTCACAGACAGCTTTTGTTTCATCACACCTGTTTATATTCTGTCTCCTCTCCCTGATCCGAGTAAGTCAGTGGGTTCTCCCTGCCCAAGGTTGCTGACATGTTATACCGAGAGACGGATTTTTAAGGAGAGAATCTAGGGAATGCAATCTTCAACAGTCTGTCAAGTCTTTAGGGTATGCAAGTGCGTTCACGTTATTCTGGGATGTCCATACTCCCTATAATTTAATGTCTCTGTACCAGTACCTGGGTCAGAGGGAGTTCTGCTTTTCAGAATCCTTGAGGCTGAAAGGCTGTGATTCTGAGACAGGAAAACAAGACCAACCATGGGATTGCACTCCCTTAGACAGGCAGGTGACTTGATAGGAAATCACAGCCACCTATAGGAAATGCCCTCAACACAGACCCTCCCCTGGCCTTACCTATAATGGCTTCCTTCAGGCTTGATTCCACAGGCAAGATGTTCTTCTCCACCAGCTCCATGGGACCTGGCCTCTGCGCTATCTTCTCATTGAGGTCATCTGCCAATCTGGCTCTCTTTAGCTTCAGCTGCTTTGCCTGCAAGGAGGGTTCAGCTGAGGTCTCTGTTTGGGGGAAAGTAAATAAAATGGCATCAATCCAGCAATGGTCAACCTATGCACTTCAGCAGTATTTTACTTCTATTCAGAAAGGTAACTATAGATAACAGTAGATAACTGCATGGAAAAAATAGTTGCATATAACAATAGGTAACTATGCACTGTAAATATATTATAGATATTACGTGTATTTAAGTTATAGAGATAACTACAGTAGCCCTTGTGACTCCAGAATAGGACCAATTCACTGTTCTCAAACTGATGTCACCTAATTCTCATTCATCTTCACCCTTTCAGTTGTGTTCAAAGATGTGGTAGTCAGCAGCAACATAGTACTCCCTCTCTGAAACTGAGATGCTTACTAATTAGATCAAATCTGCCCTGCTCCCTCTTGAGTATCTTATAGTGTCTTCCCTTATTAGAAGAGCAATTCACAGTTATTCCACTTCATTGTTACTCAGCTACACAAAATTGCACAATTTTGAGTTCACATAACAGATTCTTCTGAGAATCTCCATGCAAGCAGAGTTGAATCCCTCCCAAGAAATCAAGCAACAAGCATGATCTTTTGCCCACTCCCAACTGAAGGAAATACTTGGGGTTCAGAGGCAAAACAGAAAGCTGTTAAATAAGTAATTACGATAAAGTTTATTGTTGATGTTTTCCTGTTTAGCATGTGTCATACCTTCCAGAATGTGCATCCTAACCAGCTCTGATCTCTCTGGCCGGGACCGGATTTTCCGTTTCAGATAGTCCTCTGTCTGCAGCAAAAATAGACAAATAAGAACCAATTTCAGTTGGTTGAGTTGATTCAGTTGATTGAGTTGAGTGAGGTCATCTTGGACAGCACAAACAAGAGAAACAACCATCTTTAGTTGTTACTGAGTTCTAAATAAACACATAACAAAGAAGGGGCATATCTTCTGTCCCAGAGCACCCAGAGAATGACCTTATTCTAAATATGACCTTCTACTGCACATCGCCTCAGTGTAAGAGTACACTGCTGCACCGCAGAACAGAAACTGGAAAGGACTTCCTCAAGAGCTGAAGCCTTCTTTTCCCCTTTTATGCAACACCATTAACTTGTGTCAGAGTGAAATTCAAGGCATTTCTTTTTACATTAAAGATAGATGCACTGGTTCTATTGTTCACAAAAAATACTTCCATGTACTGCTGGCATTCAAGGCTGACTTGTGGTTTGGGCATATTCTTCTATTTGTTTAAAGATATGTTACTTGTTAAGCTAAAGACCCCATGCACTCCCTTGGCAGGCAGAATCTAAATGCTATGATGAGACCATTTAATTTCCAGAACTGCTTTTAGCTCTGTCTTTGGAGAATGCACTACAGAGCAATGACCCAGTCCAGGCTGAGCACATTACCCTTTACACAGCCAGATGGGAATTTGGGTGCAGTGGGTAACAGACTGATAAGTATTGGCCATCAGAAAACTGCACCATACTTGCTCAACTGCCCACACCAAAATATTAACTTAATAAGAAGGTTTTAGGAAAAAAGAGGAGGAAGAAGCAAAAACCTTTGGGATACTGGTCTTAATGCAAAGTCCACTGTTCCAATCCTTCCACAGAGTTTAGAGTGCTAACACTCCCTTACAGGTTTTAATCAATCACAGTTGTTATTTTTTCACTTATGTTGCTTTCATTTTTAAAACAAAACTTAGCCCAGCAGTCATAATGGGTTTTATTCCCCTGTAGGCTGATCAGAAAACAACAAACCTATCCCCAGAGACCTTTTGAGGAACAGAAATCATCAAGAAACTCCCCAGTTAGCAAAGGTGCCACACGAAGTGTGACTCCTGGCTTCCTCTTTCTATAGAGCCAGAAGTCTATGTGATTTCAGTGTTACAGGATTTTGGGGAGGGATCCTCTCTACTAAGTTTTCAATTTAATGTCCTAGATAAACAAGTGCACGTGCAGGTAACAGAGAAACCATACAGTTTCCTCAAAGGTAGAACTGAGCTCCACGTGACAGGAGCATTTAAGGGCAAAACAGACACCATAAAAATAAAAATGTAAAGTATATGGACAGTGGGGAAGAAGAGTATCAGTGACTTCCAGAAAGACGACTCCAGGGGAAATCCAGGCACCATATTCAATGGTTTTTAGGCACAACTAGTTCACTGCGGGTTCACCACCACCACAGACAAGCTAAAGAACATCCCCATCCAATACAGCTCTGACTGCATAGCACTGTATTACACCTAGAATATGAACGATTTCCTTCTGCATCTCATTAACAGCTACAGGATGCCCAAAATGTAAGACATACTACTCCTGACTTCCCCAAAACATTAATGAGCATATTGCATCTTACCCTGGCCCGCTCCAAACTCCTTCTTTGTTCATGAAATGCAGCTGGACTTTTCAGAGCTGTTGAGAGAAAAACATTTGTAGAGAATGAATTAGAATGATGGAAGTTCTCTCACTGCCTGTCCCTTTAGGCCAACTAAGTTAACAAATACACCACAGCAACTGCCTTCTGCAACTTTCAACACACTGGACCAGATCTCCAGCTGGTATAAAGTGATGTGACTTGACGTACTCCATTTAACAGCACAGGAGCAATAGGAACTGACACTTCTAGTTGAACTAACCACTGTTCACAAAGTAGGGTCCAAGAACGTGAGTCAAAACCAGGACCCCCACAAATGCCTTTTACATGGAGTAAAATATCCAGGACCCTTAAGTAAGGGAATGGCACTGAAACATTGAAGAGATACATGAAATGGTTGGAAGGATGGGGGAGGATCCTAATGAACTGTAAATCCTCTTTGCTACCTTTTAATGTCAAAGGAAGCTGCAAGTCTTTCCTTAATCTGCACCTGTGTTTTGGGTACATGCAAGGGCTGGTTACAAATTCTGCAGGTCCACAGGACGTATATATTGCTCCATGTAAGAGAAACGATCACAAAAACAGAAACACTTGGACAGGAAAGTACATCTGTCTGTTGACAGAAAACCAAGACTTGAGGAATTAACAGCAGCTCTCCATATAACAAACCTCCTCGCCCCCTTGGGCCCAGTATAAAACCAGAGCCAAAATGGATCATGTTTTAAGAAACCGATCCTCTGCTGTCCAGGACCGTACTAACCCTGGAGGAATCTCTCACTCCGCCTGGCTCCTCTGGAGCACACAAAGCTCACGTCCCACAGTAAAACCAGAGAAAGAGGGTGACTATTAGTTCTAACTCAGCAACGGTAAGTGTCACTAGCTCCTCACGCTTTTCCCGAATCCGCAAGTAGCTTGTTTTTTAAAACAATCACACTGTGGCTTGTATTCAGAACTAGATGAAGGGAACATCATAATTTCTTTTCATATTTCTGAAATACTTATATTTAAAGCTGCCTGGTGAAGTTTCTAAACCACCATCAAGCAAAACAGCAAAATTAAAAAACTTCAGCTTTAAAGGTAAGTTGCAAATCTTTTGAAGACAGAAATCTAAACTTGTACAGTTAATAATTCCAACGTACTGCACCTATGTCCTATGAAATACAGTCTACTCTTATAATTTTTCACTTAAGACTAACGCGTAAATATTTCTAATTATGTAACTTAATAATTAAATCTCAAAGGGCTATTAAAAAATAAAAGCCCTTACTTAAATGCAATGTAAGAAACTACTTCTAATGCATGTGTAGACTTCTAAAAACTCTTTCCTACAGAATAAAATGGAGTAGCCAAAGACGAAGTGTTCTGCAGAATATGGAGTCCCTCTAGGTTCACATCAGTGGGGTAAAGAATAGAATTTAGTCCATATGCCAGGAATTCTGAACACACCAGGGCATCATAGATGGAATTCAGACTACAGAAGTGAATGAAGAATAATTTGTAGAATAAATTAACAATAATTGAGAACTAACCACAGTGAGTGAGTATACAGACCCCTACAATGATGGGACAAATAGTTCCCGTTCAGATTCAAGACAGTTTTGTTCAGTCTGGTTATGGAGAGAAATCACCAGAGAAAGTTGTGCAAGCTCTGAAATGGGAGTGCACTGATTGCACTTTGGGATAAACCAAAGGGTAGAGATATGGTTTTGCAATAGTTGCAAAAATAATACAAAAAACTTCATTGGCTAGCTGAGACATCAACTCCTGGGCAGTCTGACAATTGCACTTCAATGAAGAGCAAGCAACAAATAATATTGGGAAATCTTTTTGAGACACACGAACTGCTTGTGAATATGCATGTGTTTGAATTTAAACATGCACTTCTCTCATTGTATGCATATCACAGAAAAGTGAAATAAAAGTTCAGGTACACTTGGGCAAAGATACCATGCAAATATATAAATCAGTATAAAAATCTACCCTGGAGACAAGCGAAACAGACCTCATCTTGAGTCTTCAAAAGCTCTCTACCACTGGAATGTGCAGGCATGGCAGTAATTCTTACTCTCCCCTTCCTGCCTACCTCTGCTGTCAGTAAGAGGCAGCACATGAACTTTAAGTGACATTTCCCTGACCATAGCAAATGGTCAGAAAAGTCAACTGCAGGAGTTCAGCTGATTTCACACGTAGTCCAAGAAAACTCTTGCATACAGAAGAACAAAGCAAAAAGAAAAGAATCCCCAAGTAAAAGAAAAAAAAAAAAGAAAAACCCTCCCCACATTAAATAGTAAGTAACGCAAAACTGCTACGGGAAGAATCTTGTAAAGAACAATTTCAGTCTCTCATGACTAGTCCTCTGGAAACAAGCACTGGGTTGTAGCTCTCTGGGCTGGCATCATGACAGAGGACTTCATATTCGACCTCTGAAAATGTCAAGAGGGCACCAATCCTTCACTGCTTCCCTCAGCAATCTAGGATGGGGCTGACATGTCAAAAGAGGGTGTCTATTGTAAAATCATACTCCATTCAAAGTTAACTAAGCCTTGCACATTTCTCTGGCTTTGAAATGACTACATAGGCCAGAGCTGCGGAGCAACTCTGCTGATTTTACTCTAGCAAATGGAAAAAAGAAAAATCCAATGAAGAACTCTGATGCAGTAAAGCTCTGTGTAAGCTCTACAGGAGACCCACAATGCAGACATGTCCCTCTTCCAGTTCCCACACTGCCCTTCCCAGCCACTTGGCACTGATCCCTGCAAAATTATTCCTGCCCTCTATAGCTTGCTGGCTTGCTCACCAGAGTGCAGCTTTATCCATTCCACTCAAAATTACCCATATTCACAAAGCTGTACTGTTCTCAGCCTTATCAGCTATTCTGGCTTGTCCTGATGGTGCATGCAAATGAGCGGCTTAGCTGCAGAGCAGAAGCAGTGGTAACCAGGTAGACATGGGCCAGCACTTCTATCACTGACATAGGATTCATGTCCACAGCCCTTGGTACCTGAAGCAGCAGATACAACCACAGAAAATAAGGATGAAGGGGGTTGAACTAGATGATCTCTAGGGGTCCCTTCCAACCCAAAACTTTCTATGATTCTGTGAAGAAACTCCAACCACCTAATCCCTTCTGACTGCTCAGGCTGGATAAAATACACTGAACTATTCCTTACAGTCTAATCTGTTCTTGAAGACCTCTCGTGAAAAAGTGTGATATTATTGCAGAGAAATTATCCCAGTGCATAGATGTTCTTACTAATTAAAAAGCTTTCTGAATATCTAACTTAAATTTCCCTTACTATATTTTATACTCATTATTCCTTGCCTTACCTGCAATCATTACAGAGAACAATTTATAATCTTCCTCTTTGCATCTATCCCTACATATTTGAAAACTTTGGCTTTCCTACAGTCTTTTGCTATATGAGATGACCAAAGCCAGTTGTTTCAAACTTCCCTTACACATAACATCTCCCAGACCTTTGTTTGTTTACTCCTTCCATTTGACCTGCATTTTTCTTGAAGTATAGTGTCCAAAATTGGATGCGTATTCCAGCCTAGGCTTTATCAGCTTTTATAGAGCTAAATGATTATTAAATAACACTTCTCAGTCGTATGCCCCAGCCAGTTTGCCTTTTTTGTGTACATAAAATGCATAACATGTTCACCTGTGCTTGAATTACAAACCATGAAAGGTCTCCAATCCTCTTCTGCAGAACTGCTATCTAGCCAGCCATTCTCCACCCTCAATTCATGCCACTGATTAGATGTACCAAAATGTAGAAACTCTGCATTTTAATTTAGTTTTGTCCTGTATCTTCCAGCTCCTCCAAATATTGTGAGTCCCAATCCTGTCCTCCTCCCAGCCTACTAACCTGCAAGCTTGCAAATATGCACACTATTCCCTTGTTTACATCAAATTACTGAAAATACCAAATATTATCAGACATGGACCTCCTCCCTCCCCACTCAAAAACCCTGCTCAACACATTCTCCCAGTCTGACATGAAGCCTTTATTCCAGTACGGTCCTCTCACCAGTTGCATGTGTAGCTTCAAGTTGTCCCAGCTTGCTTACAAAAACATCAGGCAAGCCTATGTCAAGCACCTTACTAAACCCAAGAATGGCAAAAAGACATTTAACATCCTGATGTCCCGGGGAGGCAGTTCAACAAATGTTTAGTCTGATGGTAGGTCCAGCTTAAGTAATGACCTCTTCTTCCCCCTCCCTCATGTCCCACTCGTTTCTGTCTCCCCCCGAATAGTCCAACTGTAGTCCTGCCGCACAGGGAGCTGTACTAGGGAACCATCACCATACAGTAACTCCAGCCCCTCCCCACGGCACTTGTCCCTCCCCAAAAAGAAGTACTAGTTAACTCAGTTCGAATCCTTGATCTGTCTTAACTGTGTGGCCAGCTTCACTAGCTTTGTTAGCAAAACAGGGTGAGTCCCTGATGGGAATAGAGCGCTGCCGGAGGAAAAAACCCCAAAACTTGCCAAAGTACAACAGTAGTAGAAGCTGTTGAGAGTTTTTGTTTTCCACTGTATGCAGAAAAAAAAAAAAATCCTGGATACTTCTCTGCTAGTGGGGTATTTGAGAACACAGAAGTAACTTCTGCAATGCCCAATTTCAGTCAGGTATACCTTTTGCCTGCTTTTCTGATTTTGTTCCTATGTGATAGGTGCATGGTATTTTCAGCTGTTACACTTTCTGCCCTCATTCTTGTACCTAGGCCTGGGACAAAGCATGTTAGCCCACAGTTATGCTGACAAAACCGTTTGCGGACTCGGATCACAGTTGTTTTGAAAGAGTTATTTTAACCTGGACTGGTATGCTGGTTTACAGCACGGCTCCACAAATAATAGTGTCAGCAAAACTGAGCAAAAACTGCCCTGCCAGACAAAGTCAGAAACAAGAGGCTGGGTTTAAAGCCAGTCCTGCCACATATATCCTAGGTTTTTAGTCTCTCTGCTACTTATTGTGGAGCATTTTGATGCTTCATCACCAGAATTCCTGAAGCATTAGTATCTTTGTGGTCACA